TCATAATAACAATAAATGAATTAAGTTTAATTCTAATGAAAATAAGTAATTAGAAAAATTCATTAACACAATATAAAAGTAATAAAATAAACAGACAAAATATAAGTAATAAACAAAAAGAATAAAATAAGTCTAATAAATGATATGAGTAATGTTAAATATTATCATAACAATGGAAAGTATGGAAGAAAAGAAATAAGTACAAAAATAAAGAATAAAGAAACTAAGATATATAAAAATAAATTGAATACTAAATTGAAATAAATGAATAATAAATATAGAGGTATTAGATTAATTAAAGAAATAAAGAAGTTAAAAACATTGTGATTAAAACTATGAATATTATTAACCATTAACTCTATAATATTCAAACATATCCATTTGAATTAGTCTATGAAGACAAAGGATTGATTTAATATCAAATGAACAAAACAATAGAAACAGATTCCATAAACATTTAAATAATTGCTTTTTAATTAATATTTTATTGTAATGAACAGTCATCTTCTCTATGACTTTGAATGTTTATGTCTTGTTTTCTTTTCTTTTCATTGAAAAAGAGTCTCATAAAGAAGAGAGTGAATACATAGGTTTTGATAATGAACATGATGCATGAAAAGTAAAAGGGAACATTATACAAAGAACATATATTCAATATCAATGAAAGTCATGAAGGTATAAGTATTGGAATTAAATAAAAATCTATTCTGATTGTTGATTCAACCTCTTCTATAGTCATGATAAAGAAGTTTCAATAATCCTACTTGAATAATTAATGATTTCAATAAGTTTGTGTTAAAATCAAAGAGTCTTTTATTTTCTGTGAAAGAACTAACTGGTTTATTTGAGAATAAAAAACAAGGTTCTTTGATATCTTAATTGTAATAGTCATTGAATAATAAAATATTAATAAAATAGATGTAATAAGAACATATTTTGAAATTGGATGAAAATTCAATAATCATAAATGTGTATTGTAAATACTCAAGAAAGAAAGTGTGGGGTTTATTTATCTTCTCTTCTCAAAAATTGGAAAGAAAATAAGAATTTGACGTTTCATGTTGTTAAGATAATTAAATAATAGTTTTTGTCATAAAATACTATAATTTAACAAAAATGAATGAAAAAAAGAAAAAACTGAAAAAGAAAAACAAAGGAAGAAAGGATTAATGGAAGTTGTCTTTGGGATTGATTTAGGAACAACAAATAGCTCTATTGGTTATTATGACGTTAACAAACAGAGTGTTGAAGTCATTAAATTTAATAATGATAAATTTACCCCCTCTGTAGTGTATTATCCTGCAAAATCTGAACAAGACATTATTTGTGGGGTTTCCGCAACCATGATGAACAAACGTTCAAAGAACATCATATATGAAGCAAAAAGGTTTATTGGCAGAAGAGTAAACCCAAATGAAATTGAAAATGATAAATCTTTATTAAACAAAATTTCTATTGAAGATGGTGAATTGTTTTATGAAATTGAACAAGATAACCAAATAAAGAAAGTGTCTCCAGTAGAAGTATCATCTCAAATACTACTATATTTAAAACAACAAGCCATTAATTCTATCAATAACAAAAGTCTTAGTGATAACTTTAAGGCAGTTATTACTGTTCCTGCTAATTTTTCTAGTGAACAAAGAGATGCTACTGCTGCAGCTGCTGAAATTGCTGGAATTGAAGTAATTGAATTAGTTAATGAACCAACGGCAGCAGCAATTGCTTATGACAAGTCACAAACATTAATAAATGGTGGGAAATATATGGTCATTGACTTTGGTGGAGGAACTTTTGATGTTTCTATTGTCACAGTATCTGATGAAGAATTTATTGTTAATGCAACTGATGGTGATACACATTTAGGAGGGAAAGATATTGACATAGAAATGATGAATTATTTATTAGAGAATAATGAACAATTAGAAAAATATGTTATTTTTCAAGACAAGAGTATTAGAAATGAAGCTGCATGTGCACGATCAAAGAAACGACTACTTCATAATTGTGAACTTGCAAAGATTTTATTTTCAAATGAAGAAACAAATGATGTTGAAGTTTCATTATCCGATGTTGTTCCAGAAAAAGATCTTGAAGATATTCAACAAGAAGTGTCTATGGTTATTGACTCACTAACATTTATAGAATTATGTGATCCATTATTTAAAAGAATACAACAAACGATAGAACGAGCATTAAACAAAAAAGGTATTCATAAAGAAGAAATAAAAGATGTTATTCTTGTTGGTGGTCCAACTAAACTATGTTGTTTTAAAAAAATGATTAAAGAATTTTTTGGTAAACAACCATTAACAACAATAGATACTATGTTGGCAGTTTGTCAAGGGGCAGCATATAAGGCATTTGGAACAGATAAACATTATACTGATGTTGTTCCGATATCATTAGGAGTTTGTAACCTTGGAGTATTGTTTCAAAAAATTATTCCAAGTGGAACAGAAATACCAGTTGTTAAAGAAAAACAATTAATGACTGCTATAGATGGACAGAAAACGTTGTCTATTGATATTTATGAAGGAGAAAAAGATATTTGTCCTGAAAATTTAAAACTTGGTAATTTTGAAATTCAAATAGATAAACCACAACCAAAGAAAACTCCTGTAAATGTTAGATTTATAATTGACTCTAGTGGGTTATTTACTGTTGAAGCAAAGATTGAAGGACTAGGAATAGAAAAAACTTTAATTGTTGAAGATAAAAAAAGAAAAAGAACAAAAGAAATGATTCAATCTTTAAAACAACAAGTTCAAGAAAATGAAAAAAGAAGAAAAGAGGTAGAACATAAAAATGGTTTATTAATGTTATTAAATGGTCTTAAAAATGATATTGAAGTTGATAGTCAATTTGTCCCAGATGAATGGTATAATTCAATGTGTCATAAAAAATATTCTACTATTGAAGAATATCAATCTGTTTTAAAAGAATTAAGTACTAAATATAAACACTTAGAAAGTGTTATTGCTTTTATGGAAAATGAACGTGAAAATTGGGAGAAGTGGATGAAATGATTCAAATTAAACATCAACTTCAAATGTTAATAAAATATTTCATCTATAACAAACAATATTTTATTGTTATTATTTATTTGTTTATTTTTATTATAATTATTATTATAATTCATTTATAATTCATTTATCTTAAAATAATTATTATTCAAATTAAATTGTAATTAAATGAATTTTATTTATAATTATTATAATTATTATACACTTTTCTAATTACTTTTAATTCTTATAATCATTTGAGTATTTATTCATTTTTTCTTTTGTTTTTTTATAATTATTATTTTTGTAATTTCATATATTTTTGTTGTTTTATTATTGGATTTGTTATAATTTAAGAACAATATAACAAGACATTATAATATTATTTACTATCCAATTATATTAATGTTATTTTGTTATTCCATTAAATCATTTTCTTTATTATTTTTTAGGTGAATCAATTTCTATTTATATATTATTCAGTAAAAATAACTTTAATTTATATATTTTACCTTTTAGTGTTATTTATAAATAAAAATTTTATTTTATTCAATTATTAATGTATTAATATAATTTTAGTTCTTTATGCTTTAATTACCAATTCCAAATAAAATTTTATCTAATTCAACATTTTATTCAATAAACCAAAAAAAAAATATTAAAAAAAGAACAAAAAAATATTTAAAAATGCGAAAGTGATCAAGAGATCTCTGAACAACCAGTTCCTCTTTTCCAATAAAATGAATCTTGGTTAGATAAAGATAATAACAAATAAGAGTTAACAGATTTTCCAATAGAAATAAAATGATTATAGTCATAAATCTTTTTACCATTATAAAAGATATTTTGGATTCGTTCATACTTAACAGTTCCTTTCTTTCCTTTAGTACAAGAAGTATCAAAAAGGTATCCAAATTCCATTAAAATATCCATTAATAAGAAAACCATTTCAACAATTCTAATATTTTCTAATCTCCTTTTTGCTGTTTTTTCATTAATTCCTTTACAAAGATCCTTTTGAAACTTTTCTTTACATCTATGATCACAAAATTTTTCTACATCAATACTTTCTGAACCAATAATTAGTCTATGAATTCTTATTAATTGTTCAAATGAATGAGCTTTTTTTAATGGTTTTCTTATTTCTATATCAAAATATTGATTTAATAAAGCTAATAAAATTCCTTGTTGATAAACTTGTTGATTCCTAACTGTTCTAAAATCTTTCTTAGGTTCTTTCCAAGTTTTTTCTGTTTTAATAAAAGTTGGTTCTTTAATAAATTGTCCTTGCATTCACTATTATTTAATTAAAATGATTTATTAGTAGATTCTTTAAATAACACTACAATTAACTTGAAATATCTTATTATTATGATTTTCTTTTTACCGAACTATTTACTATCTGAAAACTCTTTTTTTATTTCGTATTAGTTGCTAAATTCTAGTTATTAGTCATGGTGATTTCATATGCCAATATTAACTTGTTAATTTGATGTTTCCGTTTTTGATTTTGTCATTAAAGAACTCTTTCAAACTCTTTTATTTCAAAAAAAACACATTTATAAATAGACTTTTTTTATTTAAGAATTTCTTCTTCTTCTCTTTGTTCTAGGAAATGGTTTAAGTAATTTCAAATGGTAACACGAATTCTCTATCTTCATTTGAATAACTTAATTAATGATTTTTTCTTTAGTAATTTTATTAGTGATATACTTTGTATCTTCACTCCAACCCCCTTTTTCATATAACTTCGAAAACACCAAAAATGGGGTATTTCATAAAGAAAAAAAAGTATAAAGACTCTTCCAATTACAACGCCAAAAAAATTAAAAAAAAAACTCGATACATTTAAAAAGAGATGTAAAAAACATACATTTATATAAATAATATTATTCTTTACCTTCTTTTAGTAAAGTAGTTTTTACATTTTTTTGATTAATCTCAGGAGAAATTACATTTCTTGATTCACTTTTCTTTCTTTCATTTTCTTCTTCTGTAAAAGAACTTATTTTTATTTTAATTGGTGGTTTATTTTCATTACACAATATAACTGGTGATTTTTGTTTTAATCCTCCTGTTGTACCACATGAATATCTTTTTTGTTCATTACTTGATTCAAGAGCAATTAATATTGGTGTTGGAACATCTCCAAATGAAGATGTATCAATTTTATCTTTTAAAATAACGTTTGTTCTTTTTTTACGTAATAGGCTTGTATCATCTTTTCTTGGACTTACTACTTCTTCATGTTCTAATAAATTGTTATTTGATTTAACTGAAATTGTTCCATTACTCGAAATATTATCTCCTACAGTACTAATTTTATATATACTATCTTGAGTATTATTTAATTTATCTATACTACTTGGTTGTATGACACTATTCATTCTTTTACGATTCCTTGGTGTTTGAATTCCTGATTGATTTAAGGAAGTTGCTGGAGTATTTGGTGTTGATATTTCTACAACAGAATATTCTTCATCATCTTTTTCTTCTTGTTCTTGATTTTCTTCTAGTTGAGAATGAACAGAAGGAGTTGAAAATCTTTGAGTGTTTGTAACTTTATTTAACCTATCTCTAACCTTTGCTTGAATCTTTCCATCAGGAATATTTAAAGGTGTTATAGATAATTCAGGTAACATAATTTTTGGAGTTACTCCATGAGTACTTGATAAAGACTCAGGAGCTAATGTATCAGGTGATTCAATTGGAGAAAATGGAGTAGTACTACTAAATTCAGTTGGATGTAATACAGAAATAGTGTTTTGTCTTTTTCTTGTAGTTTTAATTATTCTTTGATAAATAGAATCCAGTTCTAACGAAACTTCATTAAATGTTGGTCTATTTTTTGGTTTATGTGCCCAACATTTTCTAATAATTCGTTTATACACACATTCATTAGGTATAACTAAACGTTTTCCTGCCATAATAAAGGATTGAATAGACTCAGAGTCAGGAAATTGTTCAGGGTCATATGGTTGATGAGTCAACCATATTTCTAATAAACAAATAGAAAATGAGAAAACATCACATTTAAAACTAGCATCTCCTAATTTAGGGTTATGAACTTCTGGTGCCATATAAGCAGGAGTCCCAACATCAACAATTTTTTTAGAATTTTTTGATTCAACGTATAATTGTGATGTTCCAAAATCAGAAATTTTACATAACATAGCTTCATTTGGATTAGTACTAAACATTAATATATTATCTGTTTTTAAATCTCTATGAACAATATTATTTTGATGTAAGTAATTCATCCCTCTTGCAATGTCTTGACAAATTCTGACTTTTAATTGTGTTGTTAATGAATTTGTTTTCATATATTTTCTTACAGAACCCATACTACAAAATTCTGTTATTAAACATAATTGGTCAGGCATTTGTACACTTCCAACAAAAGACAAAACATAGGGACAACGTATTCTTTCCATTAAATTACACTCTGCTTTAAAACTTGGTAATAATGTTTCTGTGTCTAAAAGATCTGACTTAATCATTTTAATTGCTACTTCTACTCCTCTCCAAAACCCTCGATATACTAATCCAAATGAACCTTGTCCTACAGGTGGTTGTTTTAATTCTATTTCATCAAAATCAATATGCGTTGATAATTTACTTTCTGCTCGTAATTCCATATTAACATAAAACCTTTCAATTTTTGGTGGTTTAACTTTAGTTTTAATACTGAGAAGAGAAGACTTACTTTCTTCAGTATGTAATTGTGTTTGAATAATAAGTGATGATGATGAAGTGGTTGAACTAGAGTCTTGAAGTAATTGTGGGTTATTTCTTGTAATTATATCATCAATTTCTTTCATTGCTGATTTAATTTGACCAAATCTCAAAGTGACATGAATTCGTTCTTTTAATTTTGTTGTACAAAATATCATAAGTTGAGCTGTAATAGTAACTACTTCTTGTGTGTGTAATGCTCCAGTTGTAGGAGAAAAAATAAGTTTATATTTTGCATTTTCTTTACCATGAAATGTATATAATAATACCTTTTTATAAGTATTACGTAGAGTAAATTGGAATGAATAACTTTTTTCAAGATCTAATTTCCCTTCGTTTAGAAATGATATAATAGAATCAGAAAAAGAAAAGTAAGGATTATTAAAGATTTCTAGTCTTTGTGCATTATCTTTATCAAAAGGAATAACACCACAATTACAAATTTCTTGAATCATTTCTTGTTCATTTAATTCTTTCATAATAATTTTATTCAACTTTATATAAATGAATAAATGAATGAATAATAATGCAATCCAAAAGAAGATATAAAATATAATAATGGATGACAAATAAATAATAGTGTCTTTAATAAAATTGTTTCTTCTACATGATAATGAATGTACTGAATAATATCCCTCAATACATTGACATACATAACATCCTTCTCCACCATCACACTCTTCTTCTTCATCTATTAAATTATTACCACATGTAGAAGGAATACAACCAACTTGTGGAATAGAATGAGGTTGTGCTCCATTAATACAAAAACAATATTCACATTCCATTCCACCATCACATTCTTCTCCAATATCAATTTGATAATTTCCACATGAAGGTAAACTACACCGTATTGTTCCATTAAAATTTATTGGTACAAAAGGTGAAATACAAGAACATGTATTATTATCACACTGTGAATCAAATTTATAAGAATTGTCACAATCTTCATTTTCATCCTTCTTTCCATTACCACAACTACTACATCCTATATCAGTATTAACATAACCTTCTTCACAAATACAACCTTCTGCTGATTCACTACAAAATCCATGTTCTCCACAATTGTTTGGACAAACAAATTCAAAAGAAATAGAAATATTTCCTTTAATTTCTTGATTTGAGAATGTAATTCCAACATATAATTGTTCAGTGTCAATTAATTCAATAATTGTTGTTGAATAAAGTGTATTTGGACAATTTCCAGAGACATATTTATTACAACGAGCGTGAGTACTTGAACAAGAATCGATATTATTTTTATCAGGAAAGCCAATAACTTGAATTGAGACATTTCCTTCATAACTAGAATCACATAAACTAATTTTCATTTTTTTATTTGCCCCAATTAATTTATACCATTTAACGTATTGTGCTTTTGTAAGACAAACAGAAGTTGAAACAAAAGTAGTATATTTATCTAAATATATTGTAGGCACATCAATAACATCAATTAAGTCTATTTCAATAGCTCTATCAATACAAGGATGAGTAATAGATTTAATATAAAATGTGAATGGTTCTGAAATTGTTTTTCCATAAGGAGAATGAATAAAAACATAAATAGGAATAGATGGTTGTAAATGAATAATTAATCTTGGTGTTAATATATTTTCTGCACTTTTTAAATTAAATAAATTACATCTTGGAGTATGAGTTTTATCACAATTCATTTGTGTTGCAATTGAATATGGATTTTCAAAATAATTTTCTATTGATCCAAGATATAATAATTCTGATTCAGTATAATCATTTAAAGCAACACTAACATATTGTTCTTTAAGACTTATTAATTTAATCCAAATACCATATGTATATGGTTGTGTAAATGAAACAACATCAGAACATAATGTTTTACTAAATACAGTTTCATTCATAAAAACAGTATGAAAAATATCAGTACTTTCATTAATAATAAACACTTTATCATTCTTTGTTCGTTGAAAAAAAGAAAAACATGTCTCAACTAATTTGGGTTTTTCTATACAATTACCATATCCATTAAATACATATCCATATTCACAATCACTACAATCACTTTTTATATGTTTTGTTGTATCACATTTTTCACATTCATTTGGTAAATAACATCCTTCTAAACAATTATCTCCATAAAGACATTGTATTATACATTCACCTAATCCATTTGGTTGATACCCATCTTTACATTTACAATTACTTCCACAATTAAAACTTCCATCACAGTCTTCACAAAAACTATCCCAAATACCATCACCACATTGACATTTTTCACCAAAACAACTTTCATTACTTAAAATAATAAGAAAGACTATGATAAATAAAGAAGTATTACCTAACTTCTTCATACCAACTTTGTTTACTTTATTCTCAGTACTTTTTATTTTTTTTTTCTTAAAAAATTATCAATTTTTTATTCCTTCAGTGAAAAACTCTTTATTTTTGTTTCTTTTATTTATTCATAATTTTTTATTTTTATTTTGTTTTATAAACCTGAAAATTAATAAATTTTTATTAAATAAAAATTCAAAAAGAAAAGAAAGGACAA